TCACTTTCTTTGGTCGTGTGGGGAGCTGATTCTTCAGCCTTTTGTCCATCCACATGTCAATGGTGCCAGACCACATTGGAGTGGGGTGGAGCTATAGTTTAGCAGCGCCATACAAAAGCCAGTATTCTTCAAGAGTGACTAAATTACACTGATCCAACATACAGCTCCCCCATTTGATTATGATTATCTCAGTGAGCTTTTGACATGTTCAAATCCAGAAATGGCTCTAAATCAGCTGAACCACTCATAAGCAAACTGCGGACTGTTGTTCGAAACAACCACATCAGGGTTCTCATGCATTGCTTATATCTCATGTAAGAGTCCAATAACTGCATCCATAGTTATAGAATGCAACTTCTTAACCTCCATCTGTTGGGAGCAATTAATCAATGAAAATAAGTTAGGACCTTCTGTGAAAAACAAAGAGTTGTGTCCACACATTTCCACAGTCTGGTGGAGAATATGGTAGGTAACAATGGCTCTCATTGTTATTGTATTTGGACAGTATGCATCTCACAATCAGTGACGAGATCCTTGATGTCTTGGAGATCCCAATCCACCACACCACTGACTGAGCTCTGACTCGGCACTTGGTGATCACCATGGAGACTGGCACAGCTTCCCTGGAACATCTTCCTGAACCAGTCATTTGTCATACAATAATCTTATCGATAATTGCAAAATGCTATTGTTTGAAGTACATTTTCATAGCCAATCTGTTGGGTCTTTGATCTGGCCAATGTTCAACACAATGCTAAAGGATGTTGAAACATCCCTTGTTCCTCTAGGATCTTGCTCAGCTGACTCTGGTCAGCTGGACACTGCCGATGTCTCAGTTTGGTGAATGAACTCAATACCATACATGGTAAAGCTATTTACTGAAGCCCTGGAGAGAGCATCTCCCATTGTTTGCAGTTTTCTTTTCCCATTGTTTCATAGAAAACCTCCAAGATGAGAAGGACGTAGGAACAGTGCCATCAAGCATACATAAAATAATGATTTGTGATGTTATTATGACCACTTTCAACCTTAGATTGCAGTCTGAAAATCTCTTGCAAGCCAATGTAACCAACAGAACCACCTTCTCCATTACGGCATTTTGTACTTCTGTGTCTGATAGTGCTTGTAATGTGAAGTAAACTGGATTATTATACCAGTTTTGTTATTCCTGGGAGAACACTGCCCCTAATCTTGTTTTGAAGCATCAGCTGCTCTGATGATTGGAAGGGATAGATTATTGTATGTTCAGACATCTGTGGATGTCAACATGCCCATGATTCTCTGAAAATCAAACTCTTAATGTATGTTCTAAGATGATCCTTCCATTTTCTTGAACAGGTTCTAAGTAAGGCAAAACTTTTGCCAACAGATTTACCATCTCTAAGGATCTTTAAGTGATCCTGGATTGACTTTGGAGTGTGCAACTCTCCAATGGCTTTAGTCTTCTGAGGATTCACCATTAAAACTGGAATCAATCAGAATTGGGGGGAAATCTCTCTGCTGGTTGGAATCATACCTTTTACAAAGGAAGATGGTTGTAGGTTTTGGACGTCAGTCATCTGGACTCCAGGACATCTGTGCAGGCATTCCTAAGGGTATTGTCCTAGGTCCAAACATCTTCAGCTGCTTCATCAATCACCTTCCCTCCATCAAAAGGTTAGAAGTATAAATGTTCATCAATGATCACACAATGTTCAGCAACATTTGTGACTCCTCAGAGTCTCTGATATTAAGTTTATGGCAATATAACTTCTGATGCCATACTTTCCTACTGCGAGTATGTATTTTGTTTGCTTAAAATACTTTTATTTTGCAGTAATGGTAGTTCTGCTGGTCTTTTCTTTGCCATAATGGAGCTTTCTCATGTTTTGTGGCTACTTTGAAGGATTCCCACATTCTCACTGTTAAAATGTCCTTCACAGGTAAAATGAGAGATTTATGCCTCTTTCATGTTAACCACTGTTTTACTGAATAACTCTCACTTCTTGTGGTTTAAATAAATGTTTCTGCCTTTAATGTAGCTCTTGAAAAGATCTCCTGCTTTTTCCTTATCCTGAATAAAGTTTTCTTCATTTTCCGTCCCTATTAGCTCAGGTCTGCCTCGCATTTTATTCTGCTCAATGCTATCACTTTAATTACTGGCTTTACAATGCCTCTGGGTCTGTGACCTTCGAATAAAACCTTTTTTATAGCCTTTTACTTACATTTATTTTCTTTACTTACGTGCTGCTTCATACCCTCTCAAGATGGCAACAACGCTCAATCTGAGCTGCAAGCAATCATTTTCACTCTCACTTTTCCAGTATGGATTACTGCACCATTTTAATATTTCCCCTGGCCCACTAGAATTTTAAGCCTTACTCACAGAACTTCCAATATCTGTTCATTCACCCTGAACTCCCCCTCAAGAGCGCTCCCACTGGGCACCACCTCATGGTGAGCCTGTATCTGCTTTGTACTAATTCTTGTTCTTCGAGGAGTTGCTTTTTTTTTACTGTTGCAACACATCCCTTACCAGATCTGAAACTTTCTTGTTGAATGATTGCTACAAAGGTTTCTTCTGTAAGGTTCTTAAATGTTCAGCTCTTCCCTGCTGATAACTGTGCTCTATGAGCTGGCAACCTAAAGCTGAGTGGGAAGATCTCTCTGCTCTGCACACCATGAGCAGTCAAATCAAATTGACACCACTGCCTACCTTGACGCATGGACGTACCAGCTCACTATACTGTATGAGCTGATGTTCATGAAAGCTTGCCAACAGCCTGTTTAAGTATTGGAAACTACAGGGCTGGCTTGGTTAAGAATAATAGGCAAAAACACTTCTTGGTATAACTAGAGACTCTTGCAGTTAACACGATAAAGTTTATTGCAAAAGTTACAGGTTAGCATTGATATGGTAGTCACCGTTATGGAGACTTTGAGCAGGATCTGATGTTAGGTCTTTCTCCTTCGAGATTCTGAGCTGTTCTACCCACAAGTGCATAGAACATCATCATAGTTGGTGAAGCTTTAACACCTTTCAAAATTAACATTTTCATGCCCATATACAACAGTGCTCAACAAAATTGGCAGCACCAATGGAGACAGAAATGAACTAAATTTTCCAAATTCTATAGAGATGCCTTTTGGGGAAGAAGAGGGGTGAGGAAAATTCAATCACAGAGGCAGCCTGTCGCCTGTTCCTGCATTTGTGCACTTTTCCCAGACCCAAGCTCCCAGCAGTGACAGCAGTGCACGTGAAACTGGCAGGTAGCCAAATTGGGCTCTTAATACACCATCCATCAAAATCTCAAATACCTTTTATCTGCAAAATTGTCTCTCAGCATTGTAATTGCATACCTGCCTGTGTAAATATTTTGTGTGTTCTTAGTGGGGTGGGGTCGCATTTGCAAAAAATCTCACAAAGCGATCAATTAGGAACAGCACCTTTGTAGTAAAGAACTTTGATAAACTTCCACATAAACGCCATTTGATCACAGACATCAAAATGGTTGTCAAGTCTTCACAAGCTAATTCTCCATTTAACCATTAACTGCTGCAGAGAATAAATTGCTTTCTTGTTCAGTGGTGACACAGGGCATAATAATTTGGAGCCTCGATGCCACAAAATTTGAGGTCTAGGCTGTTTTCCAGTAAAGATCTGTTCAATATTCAAATGGATATTTGATCCCTCCACTTACAGGTCGAATTGTCACTGAAGTGGTTTCCCTTACATCCTGACACGTGGCTTGCACTGGATTTTCCTGGGATACAGAGAGAGTTACCTGACTGCTTACTGACTAAGCTTAGCCTGGACAGACCAAGGATCTGGGAAAGTTATTAACAGGCTCACAAAAAGAAGTAATTGAAATGTTAGCTCACGTGGACACAGAAAGGAAAAGAATTGCTGCTGCAGTTAACTTTTTAAAAAAAAAATCCAGATCAGACAACTTGGCCATCCAAAATAAAGACTCAGCAAATTTACCAGTGAGGTCAAAGTCTGCATTGACTGACTACAGGCTGTCGTACTGCTAACGTGGTACACTGTGTATATCTTTTTACATTTTTTTTTGAGTCACTCATGGGACATGGGCATCACTGACTGCCCAGCATTTATTGCCCATTCCTAGTTGTCATTGAAGTGGTGGTGGTGAGCTGCCTATCTGAACTGCTGCAGTCCATTTGGTGTAGGTAGACCCTCAATGCCAGCAGGGAGGGAAATACAGTCCTGCTTCTGGTTTTAGGGGGCAGGATGAGTTGCAGAGGACCATTTGGTTCATGGGATGTAGGTTGGGCATTTAATGATTAAAATGTCTCTGTACGTTAATATAAATAGTCAGTTCTAATTTTCTGTTAGCTGACTTTCCCAGGCCTCGAGAACCCTGGAATATGAAAGGAAAGGAGGCAGGAAGGTCTGTAAATGCTAACGTAGTTGTTGAAAACATATGTAGAAGGTGAGCCAATGGGACAAGAACAGGTAGGTATCATGGTCATTTTTTGTTACCTATAATATTGCAGCATTATCTTTTGTCATCTTTGTTTATTTGCATCGTAACTGGAACATACACTCTGATTCCAATGAGATCTCTGTCATGTATGTTAACTTAAAGTTTATTACCAAATAGGTCATTAATTAAGTCAAATCTCGTCATGTTATTGGCCTTTTGATTTTGCAAGTATTGCTTGCTCTGTGTTTCAATGTCACTTTATTCCTGTCAAATTCTGCGTTCATTCCCATTTCATTGCTGCAGCACTTTGGTACATGTTATTGAGTGATTTGGTGGCACAGTGTTGTGACCATACCCTCAAAACGGAGAACCTATTTATGGCTCAGAAATAGTTTGAATAGCTGAATTATTACATATTAACTCGTAATGGGAAATAGTAGGTTATACCAAAAATGTATAAAAACAGTGCTGATTTCATTCAAAATGATTAACTTTACCTGTACACTTTATTGCAGCAATTGCTTTCACTATTTAGATGGAAGAAAAAAAAGAAGAAACTTGATCTCCTCTTACCCGCGTGTGCGTTCTAATATGCATCTTTAATCCATCATTCTTGCTGAAAGCTTTGTCACAGTAGGGACACTGGTAGGGGCGCTCACCTGCATACAAGGCAGATAACCATCAGTAAAACAGAAAGCAGTCTACAGAATGACAGAAGGGAGCTGCTGCTTCGGCACATCAAGGGAGCACAGCATGGCCAGGGTGTACACTTTCTCCTCTAGTCTTAACTTTTTATTTGATCAAACAGGGAGATCAGAGCTTTGGAAAATCTTTGTATAAAGAAAGATTCCCCTCGGTCACTTCATGGCTGGATCAAAGTTTTACTTTGAACTATTTGCTCTTTGCAAACAAGATGTATTGCCACACATAGATCTATTTTTTTTCTAAAAGGCAACAGGAATCTAATGTATGCATTGCCCATTCCTATTATTGCATGTTTAGTATTAATTGCCAGCCAAATGGGCCCCAACATATAAAATTTTACTTTGACACAAATTAAAGTTCTATTTTAATGTTTTTTAAAAGCAGTTTAAAAATCATTAAATTTTAAAATGTAGAATGTACCCAATGTTTGTTGTAAAAAAACTCAGTACAAAATAAAGAGCTTTGCGAAAGTTAATTTTCTTTCTGATGCTTCTTAATGTATCACTGATCCCTTTAAGTGAATGCCCAATATGCAAACATTTCTTTGATAGGAACAGCAAATAAATTCCAAAAATAACTGTGTATTAATTATGGATAGTAGGAACTGCAGATGCTGGAAAATCTGAGACAACAAGGTGCAGAGCTGGATGAACACAGCAGGCCAAGCAGCATCGTAGGAGCAGAAAGGCTGACGTTTCGGGCCTTGACCCTTCATCAGAAATGGGGGAGGGGAAGGGGATTCTGAAATAAATAGGGAGAGAGGGGGAGGCGGATAGAAGATGGATAGAGGAGAAGATAGGTGGAGAGGAGACAGACCGGTCAAGGAGGCGGGGATGGAGCCAGTAAAGGTGAGTGTAGGTTGGGAGGTAGGGAGGAGATGGGTCAGTCCAGGGAGGACGGACAGGTCAAGGGGGCGGGATGAAGTTAGTAGGCAGGAAATGGGGGTGCAGCTTGAGGTGGGAGGAGGGGATAGGTGGGAGGAAAAACAGGTTAGGGAGGCGGGGACGAGCTGGGCTGGTTTTGGTATGCGGTAGGGGGAGGGGAGATTTTGAAGCTTGTGAAATCCACATTGATACCATTGGGCTGCAGGGTTCCCAAGCGGAATATGAGTTGCTGTTCCTGCAACCTTCGGGTGGCATCGTTGCGGCACTGCAGGAGGCCCAGGATGGACATGTCGTCTGAGGAATGGAAGGGGGAGTTGAAATGGTTCACGACTGGGAGGTGCAGTTGTTTATTGCGAACCGAGCGTAGGTGTTCTGCAAAGCGGATTGCGAACCGAGCGGAGGTGTTCTGCAAAGCGGATTGCGAACCGAGCGGAGGTGTTCTGCAAAGCGGATTGCGAACTGAGCCCTCCTCCCACATCAAGCCGCACTCCCATTTCCTGCCTACTAACCTCATCCCGCCCCCTTGACCTGTCCGTCCTCCCTGGACTGACCTATCTCCTCCCTAACTCCCCACCTACACTCACCTTTACTGGCTCCATCCCTGCCTCTTTGACCTGTCTGTTTCCTCTCTACCTATCCTCTCCTCTATCTGCCTCCCCCTCTCTCCCTATTTATTTCAGAACCCCTTCCCCTCCCCCATTTCTGATGAAGGGTCTAGGCCCGAAACGTCAGCCTTACTGCTCCTATGCTGCTGCTTGGCCTGCTGTGTTCATCCAGCTCTGCACCTTGTGTATTTATTATGTTTATTCCCAATAATGAACTTCAGCTGTTTGTCCTTATTTAATGTTTACTGCTGTTCCCACAACTACAATGGAGACCACAACTAAAATTCAGTTATTTTCTGAAACATTTTATTTCAATACACTATGAAATTAAACAAATAAAATGCCACAGTTTTCAACTTCAATGGTTTACTTTTCAGAACTTCTTTTCAGAAGTTCCATCGCCGCTTAAAAAAAATCCAAAATACTCTGGAACAGAATAATGTTTCCAATTCTGAATGCATGGTTCTGATGATTGAGTAAAATATTGTGAACATCAAGTTATTCACCCAAGTGCAGTTAGTTACCAGATGTATTTAATCAGAAGTTTGAAGTATCAAACTTGACCAGTAGGTCAAATATTTAACTTTAATATTTTAAAACTGTTCTCCTTTATGCTTTCTAATGTATACATGTGATTGAAATTTGCCCAGAAATGGTGACTCATTGTTGCGCTGAGAGAAACAACAAATAGCGGAGACAACATTAAAAGATGCCGAAAGAACAGGCATACTCAAAAAAAAATCCACCGAATACTAGATTATCATGAATTATTTATTGTCACAAATATCGAGAAAGATGATACTGAAAAATGCTTTGTTGCCACAATCCAGCGCCATTTTGAGTTACAAAAAGAATTTTTAAAATTACATAAATAGAGTTCATCTTCTGTACAAGGGGTCTTCAAACACAGCTCCAGGGCTTCTGCAAGGTCTCTGCAAACTGTGCCCAACCTCAAGAAGTCCCGGCACCGCAGGCCTGCTGGGGCCAGGAATCCCTGCCCTGGGCACCACCGCAGCTGACGACCCACCGAGCGGTACACCAGACAATAACCTGCCGAGTCCACACTTCAGGTTTATTGCAGCCAGGTGTGCTCGCACCAGGCACTGCCACTGCCAACGACCCGCTGAGTCCACGCTCTGGGCACTGCCAACGACCCACCGAGCACCGCTCTGGCTTTCCCATGATGTCAGAAAATGAAGGAGAGAAAACGATGAGAAAGGAGAGAAAAAGGATGAAGCCGGCCTGGATCGAAGGGCTACCAACCATGTCGGTTTTACATGTTCATACCTGCTTACCTACCTTTGAAAATGGAATACCTTTCTTTTAAAGTCAAATGATGATTTCAACTATATTTATTCCTGGTCTCGACATGTCCAAAGTACATTTACATTAGGTTTAGCTAATGTGCATCGACCCAATATAAAGAAGCTTTCTAATTCAATCTCTGAGAAATTCTATTTATCCCTGCCTTTGCCACACCTAAAACAATAAAAATCAATGTAACGTAAGATGATGGTTAATGATAAAACATTTATCCATCTGTCTGTTATCACACAAACTATGATTATGTGTGCTGTAAAGAGATGATCTATCACAATAAATTCCATTTAATGTATATACAATAAAGACATGGCTGTTTCAAGGTAATATATCAAATAAAAATAAGCAGCCCGACTGAAAGGCATCTGATGAAATCTTACTTTGTTCTCTAACTTTGATAAGAAAGCTAAATAGTTTTTCCTAAATTGCATGCATTGAGAGAATTGGGAATGATATGAAAATCAAACAGACATCAAGAGAAGTGGGAAAAGGGACGGATGGTCTGACAGACTAAGAGAGAGGGACTAAAGAATTACTCAAACAAAACATGATGATTGGATCTGTCTTGTTCAGACTAGTGTTTGATGTGTCGGATTCTTGAGGCAATATAAGAGAGAAATGATGAAAAAGACTAAAAGCAAGAATCTAGAGCTTAACAATTCAATATTAAACAGGAAACAACTAATTATTATGAAAAATTCAAGAAGGGATTTACCGGGATGTTGCTGGGAATGAAGGGTTTGAGATATAAGGAGAGGCTGGATAGGCTGGGGCATTTTCACTGGTGTGTAGGAGGTTGAGGGATGACCTTATACAGGTTTACAAACTAAAGATTATAGATAAGGTGAGTAGCAGGTATCTTTTCTCTAGAGTGTGGAATTTCAAGAATAGGGAGTATATTTTTAAGATGAGAGGAGAAAGACATGAGAGGCAATTTTTTTAACACAGAGTGTGGTTAATGTGTGGAATTAACTTCCTTAGGAAGTGGTGGATGCGGGTATAGTTACAATGTTTAAAACATATTTAGATAAGTATATGAATAAGAAATGTTTGGAGGGACATGGGCCAAGTGCAGGCAGGTGCGACTAGTTTAGTTTGGGATTATGGTTGGCAATGGACTGGTTGGACCCAAGGGTCTATTTCCGTGTGACATGACTTTATGACTATGACTGTATAACTCTAGATCAAAAATAGTGTAGCCTGTGGACTGTATAAATGTCACATAATACTAAACCACAGTTTGACTCGAACAGATATGAAGCCAGTGAAAAGCAACTTAAGAAGATTTCTGCAAAGGAATAGACGGTATGTCAAGGACTAAATAGTTTCTTCAATGGGTTAAATGGTTGGAAATATTATGGGGCATCAGGAAATGGCTGATGTGTTAAATAAATTTTTCACATCAGTCTTCATAAATGAAGACCTCAGATAAATTCCAGATCCAGCTATACTGACTTTGGAATCTACAACATGTGCAGAGGTCAGTAAAGCATGTGCTGTGAATAAACTTGAGCAATTAAATATTTATAAGCAGCAAAAGCAGATGGCACACACCTTACAATGCTCTCTGAAATAAATGAGAGAAAAGGCAATATTCTCTTCATGGTATTCGTGGTTATATACACACACAACAGAAATTGGATTCAAGGATTACATGACAAATATAGATCACGGAATCACCAGACCAATGATGACAATGCAACAATACTCAAAAGTAATTTAGTGGGATACCATCAATGGCTATTTATATATTATGCCTCAAAAACAATCAGAACTCAGTGAGTGTGCTACAAAGATAACACAGCAGATATAACATGTGACAAATATAATCAACAATGGTTTTACATATGGGACTTCCGACAAAGATTAAGGTTCATCAAACAAAAGGCAAACTGTTAACTACAAAAGAAAGATGCATAGTTCTCCTCTTAATTTTGAACTCCTTCTCAGTCAGTTACAACACATAATTTGTTTATTTTGTTTTGCTTCCCTTTTAGCACATAGTTATCACATCTCAATTAAACTAGTCTAGCTCTGTTTAAGAAGGAGGGAGGCAGAAGACAGGAAACTATAGGCCATTAACCTGTCCTCGGCTGTGGGTAAGATGTTAGAATCCATTAATAAGGATGAGATTGCAGAGTACTT